CATAACCTATATGAGGACTTTTTAGAAAGGACTATTTCAAGTTTATCTTTTTTGTATATGAAATTGAACAATAAATTACAGGTAAATATTGAATCAGTGTTGTTGTCTGTTTTGCCAATGGTACAGGACACTAAGGTGTAATCATTTCAAGCGGGTCTGTTACTTTCATTGCCTAGTGCACTTTGTCATCAAGCAAAGTATTTTGGTTTTCTTTGCATCCCTTTTGACTTGCTACACAGTCCTGGCTCAGAGTATACCCATGCAGCTGACTTCCTAAACACCCACAACATGGTTACTAGTCGTAAATTTATACCTGCCTGGAGCCAGTTTGCTGACAGCCCCATAGCCGTGTTTGCATACTGTATTCCAGGATTTCAGCCACTTTGTTTTTTTCAGATGTTGAAATTAAAATGGCAGCAGGTACCGTTCTAAGATTTCCAAAAGTGCTATAGAAATACGAACAGTCCATGTACAGCCACGTGAAAAAGAAAGTACACCCTCTTTGAATGTAATGGTTTTAGGTATCGGGACATAATAGATATCATCTGGTCCTTAGCAGGTCTTAAAATTAGGTAAATACAACCTCTGATGAACAACAACACACATTACACCCTGTCGTTATTTATTTTACAAACATAAAGCCAAAATGGAGAAGTTATGTGTGAAAAACTAAGTACACGCTTACTGCTTCCTTAGTAATGAAGAGGCTAAGTAGCTGCCAGGTGCTGCTAATCAAATGCCCTTGATTATCAGCAAGTGTGACCACCCCCTATAAGGGCTTGTTCACACGATATACAATGTGTTCCAGCGTGGTTAGCTGCTGGTATGCACTGTATCGGATAGTAAACTCCCTCTGCGGTCTGGTGCAATAGGGGGCGTGGTGGTGCATTGAAGTCAATGAAACCGCAGCCACGCCGCCTGCCTGCAGTGCGATCATCCGCACCAGAACACCGGCACAACAATGCCTGCATTCCGGTCCAGTGCAATCGGAAAAAAATGCTGCAAGCACTTGACTTCAATGCACTGCCATGGCCCAGAACACACGGGGAAGTTTACTATGCGATAGTGTGTTCCAGCAACTAACCGCGCTGGAACGCACTGTATATGGTGTGAACAAGCCCTTATAGGAAATGTGTTACGTATATAACTTACTCCTCTGGAGAGGTAGACTGGTGCCCTGTATTATATCTGAGCATCTTGCCTGGTCTCCTTGGTCACCAGCATTGCCTGTTTCTGCCTCCTTTATAATCCTAGAAGACTGGCATTGACCCCTGCCTTCTCCTGTTACTTTTCATTTCCTCAGTACATATAGCAATTACACCAGAGTTGTCACCTTTCCTACCTCATTTAAAACAAAACAAAAATATTTTTTACCTGGTGATCATGCCAGTTACACACTTTCAGCCTCAGGCTGGTGACAAAGCTCACGCACTGTACTGTATCTAAATGAAAGCAATCTTGTCACCCAAGGACATTAGATCTGTCCACGGGACACATCCACCTCTCCTCATACCCTGGCGAGGAGGTTGTGTTCTGTAGTCCTAACAGCCTTCCTGATAACATTCTTTTTTTTTTTTTTAATTAGGACTGCTGTGTGTACTGTCATCTTTGAGTATACATACATTTGCACTGTGTAGTTATAGGTGCCCTTATATCCTGAGTATCATTAGAATTCCAGCTTAAGTGTGATCTTTTATACAGATGGCATTATTTCTTTAAAGGTTTCTTTTGACATCTCTTTTGGTAAGCTGTGTGCTGTATATAGGCAGGAGGTCCTGCATCTTCTCGAATCATTGTTTAATGACAATAAATTAAATTACCCACTTTATTTTTTTCCACTGGGTATGATGCAGTCATCTGTTCTATTGGTCTAATCACAGTTCCTCCATCTGTTGCCTTAGCCACTATACACAGATGGTCTATGGAGGTGTACTGTACATAATTTACTGTATGTATATAGCCTTAGCCACTATACACAGATGGTCTATGGAGGTGTACTGTACATAATTTACTGTATGTATATAGCCTTAGCCACTATACACAGATGGTCTATGGAGGTGTACTGTACATAATTTACTGTATGTATATATCCACCCACACCTGGAAATCTTAGATTCAAAAAAATTATTGTCTTTGTTTCCTTGGTATGTATGGATCCTTACTTCTCCAGCATGTTTGGTAAGACCAATTCCTTTGATAATTTGTGTCTATTGACAGAAGCTGTCCCATGCTCTGACCACAAAAAGCACACACCCACTTACACAGTTCACTATACTTGTTACAAATTCTGCTATTTAGTAAAATACTAGACATGTGCATTTGGACGAACGTGCTCAATCACGAAATTCCGTTGATTTTAGCAGTTCGTACGAATCAGAAATAACAAATTTATTATATGCCCGAATATATGAAAAACTATATTCGGGCATATATTCCTTATGTATGGGCACCGCCATCATGGACACCCATACTGTATATGCGTATGATGTCAGCCGACGTTGGGTGGTGCGCATGTGCAGAACGCGCAGGTGTCGACTGCACTTTTTTTTTTATTGTGCACTTTCGGATTCAGAGGCTCATTAGCTCCGCATCCAAAACAGCATCATTATTTGTCTCATTAAACTAAACGAATGAAAAGGTGTTTCCCTTTTCATTCCTTTTGTCCAAAATGAATTTTTATGTTGTGCACATGTCTATAAAATACCCCAATTTCATTGATGTCCTTTCAAGACTACTGTTTCAGGTCTGCAAGTTTTCTGGCAAGCTGGATGACATTCAGGCTTCTTGCAAGCACCAAGCAAAGATATCCCCACAAACCTTCCCATCTCCATTTAACTGCTGGAGCCATTACAAAAACAATGATAGCTTTGGCAGAAATATGGAGCTGCCATTGCAGACCGCCACCTGCAAATGCAGTTTCCTGCCTATTATTCTGATCAATCAGCTTCAATAGTCTGAGTACTTCACGTAGATCAAGTATGCTGATCAGAAGGCGGGAGTCCTTATTTGCGTACCTGTTGCAGGTTACTGACTAAAAATATTGCAGACACGAGTCAATATGACAGGCAGGCTACTTTCAGAAGTAGTGGTCAGCAATGGCAGCCTCCATGTTTTTCTCTTGACAACATTCCTTTAAAGTGACGCTAAATTTAGGAGTTAAACCTTAAAAATGCATCAAGTACCCTATCTATTAAAAATATAGTTTTTGTGCATTACTCGGCTGTAGATCGTCAAATTTCATGCTGACACTGTCCTTCCTTCTGGACTGCGGCTACGTTTGTTCCCCATGATCCCTGTGTGTGTTGTAAAATAGTCACCGCTCCAAGCTTGCTCCCATAATAAACAAACAAATCAAAGCCGCTCAACCTCATACACCAATATTCAGGCTAAAACCTCAATGCTCGGTGAGAGAAGAGTAGAGTAAACAAGCACACCAAAATTGATCCTCAATGGATCAGTTTTGTGTGCCGGTTTCACTACATTGCACTCCCATCATACAGTATGACTTTAATAGAAAATAGTCATCTAAATGTGAGATTGTAGTCAGCATGAATTCGGAGATGATTTGAGGATATACAGTTTAGAGTGATGCACAAATAATACATTAATGTTAATACTTAGGGTACTTGAATGCATTTTTAAGATTTAACCATGCTTGCCTCAAGGACTGCTCTAGAGTCTCTTCCATCCTTTGGAACTCCCTACCCCCAACCTGTCTATCTCCGACTCTGCGTTTAGGCGATCTCTAAAGACCCAACTCTTCCGGAAAGCCTAAAAAGCCTTAAACTTACCACTGATCTATCACTTTCTCAAACAATTCATCCCCACACAGCTACCACCTCCTGTATCGCACGCTGCTCCCTTTTAGATTGTAAGCTCTCACGGGTAGGGCCCTCCTTACCATCTTGACTTGTAATGTCTTCCTTATATTGTAAAGCACTGGGCAAACTGTTGAAGCTATATACATCTTGAATAGTATTAATAATAATGATTCAACGCTTGAGTCTAGTGTCACTTTAAGCTTCCGAAATGTAAAAACATAAATAACAGAAATAAAACCACAAGGGAATGACACCTTCATTATAAATAACAGGCCCACGTTGGGTCTGCATGTAAATGTGAATAACAAAGATGTCACCAGCACACCAATTACAGTGATTAGCAAAAGTCCATTTAATGAAAAATTGCCATTCAATGCAAGCGCTTTCGGCCTCAGCGGGTCCCCTTCATCAGGCTCAGAATGGCACAATGACTACGTGTAAATGTGGAGACAAATGTAAATGATGGAATGTGAAATAAAATAGATCACATGTTAGGTGCGGTCATTAAACCTGTTGTCCAAGGTGGAAAGACATTTTTAAAAACTGAAGTAAGTGTATTAACTGTATTGCTGGGGGAACTTCTTCAACAGCCCTTGACTCTTCTTCCCAGTTAATTCTTCAGTAAATACAACCTGCTAACGGCTGTAGTGACAGCATTGTTTTTTCTGGAGCACGGTTACCTCAACCGGCTAGCTTTGCGATAGGTAACTAGTCTTCTCAAGCAGCACAAGCAGGGCTAAATGTAGAACGGGGAAAACCACTTGTTTGTTTACAAGTCATCTTGATGTCGCCAAGATGACTTGTAATAAGAGTGCAGGCTGGTTGTCCTCCCCCGCCGAGTAAATCTGGTCCTGGGTGTCTTCCTAGGGACGCCACTGACAACATGTGTTTGCCCAGCCATGTATGGGGTGCCATGAACTGGCAATGGCACAGCGAATGTGTTTTTTTACGCATTTCACAAACGCACAAAACGCTTAGGTTAGGTGTGAATGAGGACTATTGGTAAGAGAAGTAAGAGGGATGATTACCGGAGACATTTTTTTTTATCATTGCATTACCAAACATAACCACAAGATGTCGCTACAGTCACAGCTCGCCTCCTATGTGACTACAGCATGCAGTGCACATCTCCCGGCATAAGATGACGCTAGATCAGAGCTGATGTGAGCAATACGCTCTGCTTTCTTTTCCCCCAAGTCATGTCCGCTCGTCTGGTGTACCGGTTTGTGAGCCGCCGCTTCGTCGGAGGGTTCGTATTAGGGGCGGCGGTGAGCAGCGCTTCCTGTCTGGCAGCCGTGCATCTGTATGATCGGAAGAAAGCGGAGCCGGGAACACCGGGTGAGTCCTCTGCCCACTGGCGGGCACTGAGCGTACAGCTCAGCCACACGTGTGTCAGTGTTCTATGAATGTGCTACTTCCGGTCTGTCACTGTGTGTACATTGATCGGTGCATGGACAGTGCTCGGAACTCAGTGTCACTCATGTTTTGTTTTCATTGCACTTCTATAGTTAACCCGATGTCCCAGATTTGTAGGGTCACTCTGTACAAGTGATACAGGAGAGGTTAATGTACAGGTCACATACAGTGCGGGAATAGAGATTAATGGGCAAGAGTCCCCTGTATAATCACAATCCCTATCCAATGAATTAAAATAGAATGATGGACTACAACTGACTCAACAATATAGTAAATATATAACAAATAGTAACTAACAGATCATACTTAACTGTATTATCACTGCTACTGTTGTCTCTGTCAGAACCGGTGAAAAAGTCGCCTTTCGATGAATTTGGATTCCCGCAGAGCGGCACTGAAGTGAGACAGTATGTTAGTCACGCTTTGTCCTATGATCAAGAAAAGAAGACTCCCCGATGGGTGATTGAACATCTTACAAGGGAGAAAACTGTTGGTAAGTGAGTGTCTGGGTGTAAAGGGACGCCTTGTGTTACTGGCCGCATGTCCTTGTGTATAGTCTATCCAGTGACACTGATAGCTATGCAGTCGGTGTATGCCATGCTTATCGGATTGTGCTCATAATGAGCTGTTCGTTTATGACCAACTAAGTCAGCAGTTGGCATTGGTTTGTCCAATCCAGGAGCCAGCAGAATTTTTAGGAGCTAGCTCCACTGACAGTAACTAGAGAAAACTTTGAAAGTTAGGCAGCAGGGCAATTTTTAAGGAGCATTAGCTACCTGGCTCCTGGCGCTAGCCTAAGTATAATACTGTCTTTTTTTTTTTAGGATCATTTTCAGGATAATTATTCATCAAAAGCTATAATGATGTCTTTTTTAAAGTAGTATTAAAGTCAAAAATGTTTTTCCCTCCCCCCAATGTTAATAAAAGCACTTAACTTAAATGATGTTTCTTAATCCGATCTTCCTCGTCCTTCCTGTCCTTTTCATCTGTCCCTCCAGCGGTGCGGCGGGTCTCCGATCCAGCGCTGATTCCTCTGTCCATGCTGGCACTGTCCCACGGTGTCTGCATGCGGGTGCACGCATCCATAGACTTACCTTGTGTCTCGCCTCGTGTCCCGGCCGAAAATGTGAACTGCGCATTGCGCCTGCCCCAAGTAGTTTTGCGGACTCCCGCGAATTTTCACATTTTCGGACGGGTGCGTGCGGGGAAGACACAGGTAAGTTTAAAGCGGGTTTTTTTTTTTTGCATATATCTACTACTTGCTAGCCTGATATATATGCAAAAACACTGGAGGCTTTAAAGGAGAACTATGGGGTCAGTGTTTTTCCCCATAGTTCTCCTTAGGGTAACGGAAGGACACAAACTAGAGTTCTCCCGTTACCATAAGCTCAGTATACCGCGAGCTACAGCTTGCGGTATACTGAGACGCCGCAGCCGGAGCGGATCCCGACGTAGATGACGGGATCCGCCCAGCTGCGTGAGTGACAGCTGGCTCTGCCTATCTAGAGGCAGAGCCAGCTGTATCCCCCCCTTCCCCGTCCGTTCCGCCAGTCAGCGCTGGCAGATCGGAGAGGGGAATCCAGCCCCTCCCCCTGTCACGGCAGAGAGGTGAGCGAACCTGGTATGTGTTCGCTCACCTCCCGATCTACTGAGCCGACCTGTGACAGTCTCATTGTCGCAGGTCGGCTAGAACTATGAGGTGAGTGGAAATCACTCATCTCATAGTTCTCCTTTAATTATACTTTAAGGTCTGGGCGTTTTTTACCTTATTGGATTCTATGCATTCCGGTAAAAAACACCCAGAACCTTTTTCTCCCCCAGTCCCCTCCACACTTACCTGTCAGCTACGCTGGTCCCCGCCGCTGGTCCCAAAGTGATCCTCCGTTCCCCGTACTTCCTGGTCGCTTGGGGAGCATACTGCCATAGGCTCCTTCTGCCATCAAGCAAAGAGAGAAGGGGAGTGGCCTGCCACAGGGCTGTGTGTGTCTGACACACACAGCCACTGCGGGCACGAGCGCCCGTGTGCCTCCATTAGAACGATGGTGGCACCTGTACAGGGGGCGGGTGGAAGAACACTGCGGGGACCCACTAGAAAACGAGGAATGAAAAGATTTGAACGAAAAACAACAACAGCCTCAGGCAGAGGTGGGCATCCCTATTGCAAATTTTAAAAAAGGAGGGTTTAATATGTGTATGTCTGAACAAAACAAAACAAAAAATAGTACATCTCTGCTATACAGTTTATGCACATTTCACCATGTTTTGTCTCTTTAAATATTATACATGTACTAAAAATGCCTGCTGATCCTAACTTCCTGCAAACTCTACCTCTACTGCGCTTAAATGCCAACCAGTGTTATCAGTCCTGCCTATTTCATCTCTTTGAACCACAGAACACCCCTTCAAGACATGGATGAGGATAGGGGAGGTGTCCTGCAGTCCTAACACACTTTTCCTAGGGTGACAACACTATAGATATAGTGCAGTGAGTATTGTTGCTCTAGGACACAAAGTGCGTTAGTGGCAGGATCACCGGGTGTAAATAAAAAGAAAAGGCCTGAAAAAAGCAATCTAATTCAGCTACCACATCTGAGGACTAAGCTGCAATATTTTACAGTTTTAGTTTTACCTTTAGATGCCCTTTGAGTTTCAAAGATATTACAGTTTATAAGATGTTTTATATCTGACTTTATCTATTTACAGTCTTTCAGTTACAATTACACATAAAAGTGACAGCACAGTAGAGCACCCTGCCTTTTGTCATCCATGGTCTGATTGAAGCTTTCACCAAAGTGCTTTTATAATGGAGGAATCACTGGGATGAGTCATTTGTGAATGCAAACTTCAGCTTTAGCTATGGAGGTCTGTAAGCCCTAGGCCTTGCAGCAAAGCTAGAGCCTGGTAAAAGGGAACAGTAGATAAGAGTTCCACTAGGCTCAAAAGAAGAATGCAGAATATTAATATGTAATGTTTGACGTTTATCCAGCAAAAATACTTGTAATTTTTTTTTTTTTTTATAGTCCATAATGAATAAAGAAAGTGATTATCTATAGAACCACAATGCATTTCCTTTATAGGAGATTTCCATGAAATATCTCTATCTATGTTTAACTGACTGACAACCCTGAATATAATGTGGAGGTGTTCTATCAAAGATTGTGACTGCATTATAATGTGTGACCGGTCACACATTTTAACGTAATCACGCCCACTTTTTCGGCATTGGAATATGTGACCAGCAAAATGAGAAGAATTGTTAACACTTTCTCAGCTGTTCCAGGGCAGATCGGCATCGCAGATCGCATGTGCAGGAGAACCGATCTGCCCTGAAATAGCTGATCGGTCCTGAAATGTTACTTCTATCCGACTTTGTGGAATGTGAGATTGCAGTCACAAAGTCTGATAGTAGTGACATTTCAGGACCGATCAGCTGTTGCAGGGCAGATCGGTTCTCCTGCACAAATGATCTGCGATGCCAATCTGCCCTGGAACAGCTGGAACCCTTCACCTTTTCCCAGTCACATATTCCACCGCCGAAAAACTGTGCGAGATTAGATTAAAATGTGTGGCCATGTCACCGGTCACACATTCTAACACAGTCACAAACTTTGATAGAACAGAGGCATCCTGTGCTCCTTCAGCTCCCCTGGCCCAGTGTTGCTTACGTTTCAGAGTGTTGGAGTGTAGCTTATGAAGTGTAGCTTATGAACTTAAGAAAACCACTGAATGTTAAATGCTTTAAAATGTAAACTGCCTTGGTGCCGGGATGAATGAACTCCTGTGAGCATGTGCAGGATTTATGTCATCCTGGTTTGCTGCAGGGGAGGTTAGTATTGGGGTGATTGTTTTAATATGTTGAGATGTCACCTTTTCAGTTCTTCTTTCTTTAGGCAATGCCGACCGGAAACACTGTAAATTTAAACCAGATCCAAACATCCCAGAAATGTTTAGTGCCACTAATGAGGATTATTTAAAAAGTGGTTGGTCTAGAGGTCACATGGCACCAGCGGGAGATACCAAGTTTTCTACGGTATACATTTAAATGATTTATGTTATACTGTTTTATTGTACTGATATGCCAACTGCAGTAACAAATTAGCAGCAAACATAATAACAACATGCAAACACAGAGGTCCGAAATAGCAATTAAAGGATCAAAACATAGTGGAGAGGTTTAAAAATTACAGTCACAAGGCTGAAAATGGAGATCTGCGTATTTATTTTAACGCTTTGTGAGCTTAACCTTATATGTTGGCTACAGAGACAGCCCATCAGATAAAATTTGCTTATCAGCTCCATTCTCCAGTCTATTTGAAACTGTACTTAGCTGCCTGATAGGTGTTGGGCCACTCCTGACTCATTGGAGTTCTGCAAACAAGGGACTTCTCTAAGCACAGCTGAAAGTGAAGAAAGCCAAACATATGAAAAGAAGACTAGGGCTCTACCTGCTGGTTAAACTCATTCCAATACACATTCTCTTTAAAGTCAAGAAACACTTTGTTACCTACTAATAGAAGAATTTGAGTTGTGTATATAGAAAATTTTATGTCTCAGAAACATTAAAACAATCTTTTTTTCTAAGTTGAGAAAAAAAAAACTAAAAGCAGAAGTAAGGTTGTTGCCCACTGCATGGACTTGCAGGATAAGAAATGATTTTAACTGTATTTAAAGTGAAAGAAAACCATTGTTTAAACCTTCATTACACCTCACAGCCAACTACCTCTGCGTCATTTACAACCTAAAAGTCTAAGAAGTGATGTGCCATACCTACCTATCAGATGCTCCAAGATCTGAGAACAGCTACTACAGCGGGGTAAGTGGGTGGTTAAAAAAAGGCACGTTCTGTCCAGGCAGGGCCACTGATTGGCTCGCTTTGCCTGAATGTCACCCTTGTCGGCGCACACTTGTTAGGCACCTGTAGTTAGAGGGGCTGCAGCAGCTGATTGGTAAGCATGACGAACATTTTATTTGCCAGCCACAGGCCAAATAATCAGTGTCACAAAATAAAACGAGTTTTATTGCTATAACCTATTAAAAAATATATATATAGTTTGTTGCTGGTTGAAGAGGGGTACAGGGGCCTCTGAGCACCATATGAGCCCCATCACACACAGCACAGCATGAACAGGAGCTACACCAGTCCTCCTATCCGTAGCTTTCAGGCTCTATTCACGTCCATCAGATACGCACCATGTCCGAAATGTTCCACTTTCATGTTCAATTAGATAACCTGATCCATTTTCTGTCTTACAGGAAGCAATGGCTGAAACATTCTATCTTTCCAACATCGTGCCTCAAAACTATGAAAATAACGCCGGCTTCTGGAACCGGTAAGAGCCGTGAATTCAAAGAGGTCATTATCAGATCTGTATGTGCAAATGTTCATCAAGGACAGTTCTAGAAGTCATGAAAGCGGAACTAACTGTTCCCAAAACACTTTGGGCTAGTTCACACCAGGTGCATTGATCTTCATTGATCAACACAGGCTCAATGCAGGGGGAACATAGGAAACAGTTGTTCTCTATGTGCTCTGTTCACACAATACATGAGCACAGTGTAGAAATGGAATTGTCTGCATTTGTATGCAGCACAATGTACTTCACCACATGTCAATGCACTGCAGTGCATGAGGTTCAATCAAGAGGAAAAAGTAAACAGTGCCTTGAACTGTATCGTACCATTCTACGCAACACACACCAGCACGTGCATTATATAGAGCATAACGCACATAGGTAGGTGATTTTCGGACCCCTTACATTCAAGTCATGCCTCTGGGGATAACTTTTTTTTTTTTAAGGGCCCGTGGAACGTGCGTCTAAAACGAACTCCCCCTGTGAACAAAAAAAGTGAACTGTGAAATCACAGCACACAAAAACGTGCACAAGGGTGCTTGGTCCGTCAATAAAGAAGGGACCTCGATTCCCGACCTGGCGAAACAGGTCCCTCACAGTACTGGGTAGGGGGATCACCCGAAGAGAAACCCCCTGGGTGGGGGGAGACAGAGAACCCTATATAAGGGCACAGAATCTCCCCCCCACATCGGGAAAAGGCCCCAAAGGAACCTGCACCCGCTGCATCTGTGGGTCAATCGAAAAAAAAACAAAAAAAGTGCCAAATCGTGCATAAGGTGCGATAAATAAAGAGTGCCAGTGCATCACGCTGACAGGCCCTAGGGGCCGGAGTGCAAAAATATTGCCCCGGACTAGCCATAAGGCCTGTCTAGGAGGTGTTGTGCAGAAAAATGCAATGTGATGCCGTGACCAAGTGCACAGTGAGTCAAAGTGGGTTCCCACCCCCAAGTGACTTTCTGAGCACCCCTGGGATGCCACCCCCAGGTGGCACAGCACCACGGGCTCTGCCGCCACCCAACCCTCCGGCCAGACCAAGCTTCGCATCCGTTCAGTCAGTAGGCAATAGTGCAGAGAAAACTCCTCCCTCTAAAAGGGAGTCGCCTCAAGCACCTACCTTCACTCCAGAGAGTATTAAGCAACCGTCCGTACCAAGGACGGTCCATGCTTTTCCCCTCTGAAACTGATAAGAACAGATACTACACTTGATCTTAGCCAAAAGGCCGAGAAGCGATAGCCCCTGGGGATAACTGTCACAGTTTCCAGTGTGCTTATGTTATCTCTCAACCAGCTTTTTAGATGCAGCTACCACAAGGGACAAGCTGATAGGATGAGAGAGCAGAGTGACAGAGAGATGATCTCATCAGTTTTCTGTTTCTCCTTTTACTGTCCAGTCACAGGTGGGAGGAGGGACAAGACCTGTAGCCTAACTGCAGTAGAGACAAATCATGCCTCCTGTCCTGCCAGACATGATGTATGCTACAGAGCTGTGTAAATCTCAGAGCTGCAAGGACAGAAATACAAATCCTTTGGCAGGTAAATCAGCTCCCTTATTAATTTAAATTGCCTTAGTCGTTTCCCTGAAGTTTAACTTTAAGATAACCCTTGCTGCATTTTCTGGAATTGAAAACATAATCCCTGTTATGATTTTCTTAATAAGACTAATGCTGACATGGATTGAATATAAACATCAAGAAGCATGTTCTGTCCATGTCATAATTCTCCTGCGAGACTCCTGCCATGCCAACGTGCAATTATCATCTTGACTGAGTGACTTCTCACTGTAATTGATCTTAACAGTCTGCTGCTCCGCTGCCTCCCACACAAACTCCGCATTTTGTCACTCAAACAGAGCCATGTTATTTATGTGAAAGTATATCAATGTGTTCATGGATGGAATTAGCGGCGCTGAAATAAACTCTTTAAAAAAAAGGAAAAAGAATTCTAGGATAATAAAAAAATCCTTTAAATTTTTTGTGTTTTGCTGTAGAAAAAAAAAAATGAGGTGTTGTAGATCGTCCACTGCATTATTGTGTCAAAAGAAAACGGTAGGGATGCACCGATACCGATACTAGTGCCGATGCCGAGTACTCGTACTCGCCCAAATGCTCCCATACTTACCCCAGATAATGGAACTTCCAGTCAGAGGGACATTTCCTCTGGTTAGCAGTGCCGTGAGGGAACATGGAGCGAGCTTCCCAATTGGCCGGGAATCCGGCTCCATGCGGTTTGGCTGGCCAATCAGGAAGCCGGCCCACGGGTAATGACTGCATTGTGTCTTAGCTCACAGCTAAAGGCCCCAGCTCTGAGCAGTACACACAGCTCCGACGCACTCCCATCTCTTTGCTCTGACACCTCATTATGAACAGCACGCTCTTTTTGCAGCCAATTACCTTTCAGCCAAACAAAGCTCCTGTCCAATCACCAACCACTTTGTCGGCCTGTCCTCTCCCACTCGGTCAACTCATTGGCCGCGATGATGGCACGTGGTCCTCGAATTCATCTCCCATTGGAAGCTGCTAAGGAGCTTGCATGGACGCTAATACAGGACTTGGTTAACTGTTCTGCTGCCAGTGGGAGTAAAATGACAGCAGCCACGGCACCACCCACTCCGCCTACTGCGGTACCACAAAGAGTTAAGGGCTGGTACAAACGTCTAGGCCAATCTGATGTGGCGGGGAGGCTCCTATTGTGCCGTGATTGGTCAGAGGCAGGCTGACGGTCGCAGGAGATGTGTGAGGTAATTGGTGGCGCTGTGAGGAAGCAAAGATGTCCACCGATGGCAAGAAGCCGGTCCGCTCACCAAGCAGGCTCTGCGCTTATGGGTAGTCTTAAAGAACTATTAGATAATTTTACAGCTGTTGCACTATAGACACCCTGGTCCAGCTTGTGAATAGTAATAAATATGCAACTCCGCATGCTGCCCCTGCGAACAGAGCGCACAGCAGCACCTTCTGTCTGGGGGAGCCACAGTGGGGTAATGACACGCCGCCCAGGTCCATGCTAGTGGAAGTGTCGGTTCGGTACTCATACTCGGTACCGAAAAAACGGTATCGGTGCATCCCTAGAAAATGGCATTTGTTAGATTTCCGAACACCCCTTTTGCAGAAAGTGAATTAACACAATAAGATATTTGAAAGTCCCAAAAGAAAGAACGTGGCCTAGTAATTTACTGCCTCCTAAATTGTCAGCTTTGTAGGCATATAGCCCAGTGCTTAATGAACCAAATATAACAGACGTGCTCATTCTTAAGGTGCCCATACACCTTGCGATTATCGATCAGAATAAAATGTCCGAATTTCCTCAGTTTGGAAAACCTTTTTCGAGTCGAACGAAAATGGATGGATTAGTGGCGTTTTTGTATGGAAAACATGCACACTGCACATGCGCAAATGAAAATCCGTTCTCCCGATCGATGAAATTCAGCCAGTTAGTATTGCTAACGACCGATAATCGAAACCGACTTTGGTCTGTGCATGATGGGGTATTCAAGCACAAATTGAACGGGGGTTTGATGACGGGTCGAAAGTAATTGAACGATAATCATAAGGTGTATGGGCAGCTTTACAGATATCATGGGTAGGCTGATCCAAAATGATTAACTAAAACAGCTGTGTAGAGGGAAAAAAACTGGTCTAAGGACATCCATACTAAAAAAAAGTGAGTGGCAATTGTGATGATTAAACCTTTAAAGTGTATCTAAACTGAGAGAGCTTCGGGTTTTTTTTTCCTTTTTTCACCTGGTGATCTGGCCAGTTAGTCTATTTTTGAATTTCCTTTAATAGACCAAAGCTGTCCAGCAAAAGTGGCAGTTAGAGGGTTGAGACAAACCATTTAACAGAGAAGAAAAAAGAACAGGGCATTTTCCTCGTGAAATACCGTTTTATTAGTCCTAAAAATAAAAAACTGAATAAATCATACTCACAAACGATGTCTTTAGCAAAGCATTTCAAAATGACCAAAACAAGCTGGCATAATGTAGCAACCGACAACCGTAAAGTGGGCCAGAATCTTTGTCCTGCTGATGCGTTTCTAGGGTAATGCCTTCTTCATCAGAGCATACCCAAAAAATCGAGGACATTGTCCGTTGCTTGGGGCACACAAAACATTTCTTTGTTTACATCTTGCTGCCGGCTGCTAGATTGCATGGTGGGCAGCAAAAGGTAAACAATGGGGAGGAATAGCCACCCTACTATGGGCTATTTCAAATTGCAATAGCAGGCTGGTTATTGTGCCCGCCCACTGAGCAAAGGAGTGAACCGGAGAGAGAACTGTCCCTCTCATGTCTGCTCCTCGGCCCAGTGGGTGGGGTTTCAATAGCCAGCCTGCTATTGGCTATTGCATTTGAAATGTGGTTACTTGAGAGTTACTATTGGTTGCTTGAAAGTTACTATTATCTCAAGCAACCAGAAACTACAGTTATCTGGCATCTATTGATCCCCGTGGGTGACGGATTACTGAACGTTTACCAGTACCAGTTGGACCCAGGTACACCCATCTACTGTCCGGTCTGGCCAGAATTGGTCTTCATGGAAGAATTGCAGCCAAAAAGCCACACCTCCAATGTGGAAACAAGGCTAAGCGTTTAACGAAAACATAGGAACTGGGGTAGTAAATATTGGCAGCAGGTGCTCTGGACTGATGAGTCAAAATGTGAAATATTTGGTTGTAGCGGGTTTGCCGCAGGGTTGAAGAGCAGTACAATAATAAGTGTCTGCAGCAACAGTGACGCATGGTGGAGGTTCCCTGCAAGTCTGTGGCTACATTTCTGCAAATGGAGTTGGAGATTTGGTCAGGATCAATGGTGTCCTCAATGCTGAGAAATACAAACAGATACTTAGCGAGCATGCCATACCATCAGGGAGGCGTGTGATTGGCCCCAATGTTTTTCTGCAACAGGACAACAACCCCAAACATCCAGCCAATGTCATTAGGAACTATGTCAAGTGTAAAGAAGAACAAGGAGTCCTGGAAGTGATGGTTTGGCCCCCACAGAGCCCTGATCTCAACATCATAGAGTCTGACTGGGATTACATGAGGAGACAGAAGGATTTGAGGCAGCCAGGATTTATATAGCGCCAACAGTTTGCGCAGCACTTCACAAAACTGAGGGAGACAATATCATTTTAGTACAGGAGGTAGGAGGGCCTTGCTCATGAGAGCATGCAATCTAGTAGGAGGGGCAAGCGATACAAAAGGTAATAACTGTTTGGGATTATTTCATGGAAGAAATGAATGGACGGTTATATGTCCGGTGTCCACAAGCATTTGGCCACATAGCATAGCACAGATGCTCACACAACATGCAAAGGTCAGACATGTTCGGAGGCATAATTAAGACTCCCAGATAAATATTTACTGGATTAGGCAAATACTTATTAGTTCAGGGTGAAGCCGCCATTTTGAAGGGGAACAACCATCTTCTGCACGGAAAATTTATTTTTTAGTAGGCAAGTGTTATAACTTCTTGTAAATGTTTTTTTTTTTCCCCTTCAAGTATCTGGAAAAAAAAAACTCCTTATATTTTTGTCTTTCAGTCTTGAAATGTATTGTCGAGACCTGACAGAGCGATTTGATGATGTGTGGGTGGTTAGTGGCCCCTTAACATTGCCGGTGCAGCATGAAGATGGCAAAAAGAGTATCACTTATCAGGTGAGCAATTGTTAATACTGACACATTGCGGAGTGTCACTCTTAAGTAGACCGGTCAGTAAGTATATTATTGAACACAATGAGCGTTTCTCAGCTTTGCCAAACTTCTCTTCTTAACACATTAGACAGGTGCAAAAAGCATTCAGCCATGAAATGAAGCTGTGCTTATCAGCAGCCTAAAATCCACATCATTTCTTCACGGAGGGAGAAAAGACAGTGTGCATTCTCATTAACAGCTGCCATTTTATGTCAGCAGGGCGAGATTGTAATGTGATAAATCAGAGTTTTGGAATTCTAATGAAGCTACTTAGAGGACAACACAGAGTGAGTGCCTACTGTTGGGGGATTACGAGGACACTGAAATAGCCAGGCTGTAATTGCCTGTTATGACCCTGGGCCGGGTTTTGCTTTGTGAAGACAAGAAATACAGAAGCGCACTACCAAGTGGTGACTGAGCAAGAAAAAATAAGGGAATAATAAAATGAGACTTACCAGGGAGTGGGTACTAGCGCGTTGTCAGCGACGAAGTGTGGATGGATTGGGAGTCCAGGACTCCACTCTGTCTTCTTAATCAGTAAAACGTCGGACACCCCGGTCCGCATTTTTAGGAGCCGCACACCAAGTACCGCAACCAACATTTGTTTACCCTCACCTCAGGGGCAGCGCTGCACTAGGGGACATTTCTCCCAATTTTTTGGGGTTTTGCTTTGTGCTTTCTCGAACTTGTGTCACTGATTGATCACCAGCATTACTAAAAGAGACTTTGTAAAAAAAATGGACATTGCAATAACTGTAGTAAGCTTAGTGAGGCTTGGCATGAATGGAGCGGTTTTCACTACCATCTGATGTGGGTTTGATAAAAAACAAAGGAGTGCTAACAACTCTTAAAAATGCAAGTGATTGGCCTTTGAAGATATTACGTTTTTCCTGTCCATAGTTCTTTGTTCTGATCATATTTGCAACGTTTGTAGCAGATATCACAGGGACTCCATTGACACCTCTCTGTGTGAATGTTCACCCTGATGACATTTCTCAACTCTGTGCTAGTGAAAAATGTAACCAACAGTCCTGCATTGTAGATGAGGAGGATGAGGGCTCACCCTGGTAGTGTTGGAGAACAGAGTATTAGTACTTATTTCAACCCCCCCCCCCCCCCCAAATATGACATTCATACTGGCTTAGTAGTTAGCAGTTCTGCCTTGCAGCTCTGGGGGGTCTCGGCTTTGAATCCTGGTCAACAAGGAGTTTGCATGTTCTCCCTGGCCCTGTTCGGGTTTCCTCCAGGTACTTTGGTCTCCTCCCACACTCCTAAGACATGCTGGTAGGTTAATTGGCTCCTGTCTAAAACCAGCCCTACTATGTCTATGCATGTATGTATGTAAGATAGGGACCTTAGATTGTAAGTTCCTTGAGCAGGGACTGATGTGAATATGCGGTAGGTGAAGCATTGTGTAAATTGTCGGTACTATATACCTGTAATAAATAAATACATTCGATCCATGCACTGTGTTTGTATGGATAAGTATTACACCAGCCTGGAGTTCAGCTTCAACCTCCAAGGGTGTTTTTAGAGGTAGAAACCTGTAGGATATCCACAGAGATACAGGGAAAATGTATAAATGTCATGAAGGCTTTAGAGGGAATTTAATCCAGAGGCCCAGTGCTGTAATGCATTTTCAGTATTTCAAAAGAAAATATGTTTGTTTTGGGTACTTTTTTTAGTTTACATGTTTTTAAACTGATGTAATATCTTTTTTTTTGTACTATTTATATAAAACATTTATAATACAAAAGCAGTTAAAATAGGCAGCACCCATGAGACTGTATTGTTAGGCTTACTAAGATAGAGACCTCCAGGACCGGTCTGCTTTCATGCTCTCATTTTCTGATTATGAGGAGCTGTATATGCAAACCACTATAGATTCCCTTTAAATCTAGGCCGTTGGATGGGGTTTAAAGCGTCACTGAGGCCCCGTTTACACCAGGGCGGTTGCTGATCAGCGCGGTTTCCGCATGGATTTTAAAAGGGCGGTTTTGGGTGTTTCTAATTGCGTTTTAGCGCGGTTCCATTAAAAGCAGTTTGGAAACCGCACTGATCCACGCGGCAAAAAAGGGTCAGGGAGCAATTTAAATGGAAGGCGGTCCTGAACGGTCCCCATAGTAACGTGTGGGATTGTTGATGTCATCGAATCCGCGCGACCAAACTGCCCTCGTGTGAATGGGGCCTGAAGTCATAAAACAAAAATGTGTAGTATAGATGCTGAGAATAACATTCATATACATTTCCTGTATGGCTTTGGTGCACATTTCATGCCTCCCATTGAATTCACACATGCATAAACACTGTGCTCAGAAACCAGTATACTGGGGGGGTTCTCACTACTCCATCACAGCTCCACCCCCTCCTCACTAATGTCCCACCCACATCCCCACCTATCTCTCTACTTTGCAGGCTCTCCTACAGCCCTGCTACATGTGACATGTGGTGCAGAGCATTTTGGGGAGGATGGCCTGCAAGCACAAAAAACAGCAGGAGCTGCTACTCATAAGAGTCAGAGATATGCAGTGTAACAAAATATTTTGGAGCATATTAACAAAATGCTTGTTCTGAATACCTATTATGATGCTGGTGCCTTTAGATCTGCTGTAAATATAGTTTTTTTTTTTAAGTAGGAAAATGCTTGCTATGTATATTGATGTCCGGCTTTACCAGTCACTATTAGCTCGTCACCTTAGTCTGTTCTGTACTCTGCAGGTGATCGGCAAAGATGATGTAGCAGTGTCATCACACTTATTCAAAGTGATCCTCGCGCGGAAGAACCAGTCTGCAGAGACGCTGGCTGCAGGAGCTTTCGTTGTCCCCAACATTCCAATCAGCTTTGATCACCAGTTGCCTGAATACCAAGTGGAACTTGAGGATCTGGAGAAGAAGTCTGGCTTAGTTTTCTTCCCCCAAGTAGACAGATCTAAAGGAGTCAAAAGCCTCTGTGAGGTGGACACCTGCAGACTCATCCAGCTAGATGAGTTCAAGTTGTACTTAGCATCCAGAAAGATGAAGAATGCACAAAACGTGCAGAAGGTCGAGAAGATTATGCGGGAACTTGATGAGGCTAAAATACAGCCAGACAAATATCTCTTAGACCTTTATGAACAGAAAATGGAAGACTTGAGTTCAAACGAGACATCTCTCCCACGAGAAGAAAGGAGAGGATAAAGGGAATTTTTATTTGCCTCATTTCAATTTACATACCAATAAAAACTGTTGCTTCTTTATTATGTTACTTTTGTATCTCCATACATTTGTCTACTTTTCTTTAAATGCCATTCAATAGTGATCTAGCATTAAAAGAGAACTATGGGGTAAGTGTTTTTCCCCATAGTTTTCTTCAGGGCCATGGGAGCACATATACTAACCTCTTCCCGTGACCCAAAGCTCAATATATAGCGGGCTATTGCCCGCTATATACTGAGAGCGCCGCAGCCGGGGCGCATCCCGACAATACTGTCGAGATCCGCACAGCTGGCTGATTGACAGCTGGCTCTGCCTATCTAGATCCAGAGCCAGCTGTGCCCACCTCGTCCCCTGTCCATTCCTCCAGTCAGCGCTGGGGGAATGGAGAGGAGAGGGGGGAATCCCTGCGGGTAGATGATCGGGAAGTGAGCGAGCGATGGTATGTGTTCGCTCACTTTCTGACCTATAGATCCGACGTGTCACATTTTCATTGTCACACATCGGCTCTAACTATGAGGATGAGTGTAAATCACTCACCTCGTAGTTCGCCTTTTCGGATAATCATTTAGGTTTTTTGTGTTATTCAGTGATGCTGTGATAAGTGCACACAGCAGCTGAAAAGATACAATTTACTAAAGTCAAATCATGGAAGGTGAAAACACTGCTTCAGTTACTGCACTTTGTCGTTCACAAGTCCTGGACATGGACAGATGTCAGGGAAGTGGTGGCTTCAGTCATTCTTGCTATAAAATCTACTGCCTTATTAATATGAGTACCTGTCTTATACAAACAGCAATACATACAGATATTTGAAGAGACAACCATGTGCATTAAAGAGCTAGTTTAGGCTAAACATAAAAAAAGCTCTTGGGAGATACATATGTTAAAACTGTCCCATAACCCCATTATAATTAATTATTGATGGCACTTCATGAAGTTTATATTTGTAATAACAGCACCTTCTGATGTCACAATCTGAGTATCGTTTGACAGTAATGTAGCTTTGGTGCTGACACTCCAAGCTCACTCCTGTGATGGACTACAATCTCAAATTAGTAAGCTAAACATGACATTGTAGTCCATCGCGGGAGTGAGCTTGGAGCAGTGACTACTTTACAATACACAGGGACAATGGGGAACAAAAGTAGCCACCCTCCAGAAGGAAGGACAATGTCAGCACCAATTCAGAGATGATTTGAGGATCTACAGCCCAGTGATACACAAATAAGATACATTTATGTTAATAGTTAGGGTACTTGAATGCGTTTTTAAGATTTAACTCCTGAGTTCAGTGTCACTTTACTTTTTGTTTGGGCTGAGAAAAGAAACAAGTTGTATACAGCATATATTTTGTTTATCTTTTTTTTTATCTATATTTATATCTCTGCTCCCTAGGTTGTATGCCAGTGCATGTTGTGTTCAAAAGAGGTTCTCATTTAGCCGAAGCTTCTGTAGCCACAATAAGCAAATTTGCGTTCCAAAAGTAATAGTCTCCACAGTAATCATCATATACACAAAGCATGGCAAGACTTTATTGGTGTAAAAGAATAGTGATTGAGAAACAAAACAGGATTTTAGAATTGGGTTCTTTGAAATTCTCTTTCAATTTACGGCCCTATTCTTCTTTTCTATGAAGTCTGAAGAATGAATTGTAATATTAGGTCCACTTTAAGTACAGAAGCTTGATGTTCATTTTGAGGACCCAAGATGAGGCCAATGTTTTTCAAGCCTGTCTGCAACTAGACTAGTCCAATAAGAATACCTAATATATCATATGATGTTAAGATAGTAAGATACCACTAGAGGGAGACAGCGAGTCAGATGTTGACTAGAATTGTGATGGTCTTCTAAATTCTACATGCTTTCATATCACTTAGTACTTTATCCATACTATAGTGCTGTTGTATGTACATAGTATATGTTTTTAATTATTATTATTTATGTGCTGGTCAACAGTTCCTCATTCAGTATACACACCTTTACAGTGGGTAAGTTCTTACTAAGGCTCTATGTAGATTGAGATTGTAAGTGTTCTCACATTGTCTCCCTGTGTCTATGCTGCTTTTAGGCTAGTTGTAGCTAAATTCAGTAAATGAATGAAAGGGATACAGGGGGCGATGAGAGGAGTTAAAAGGCTCTTTATAGTTCAGCAAATGTGAAACCATCTTTGTTTTGTTTGGTTGTCTGTAGAGTAGACCCGACGCTGTCTTTTTTAATACTTTTTTTACACTATATTTGCATTGAATATAAATATGAATACAATGCCATCCACAATACTGCCCCTCCACCACCACTATTTGGTAAAGAGGACATTTCTTCAAATATTTATGCCAGCGCTTAATAAACTTCCTTTTCCTCGAGCTGACCTTCACACACATAGTCATAAAAAAAAAAAAATATTGGGTCCCATTACATTGTAAGCCCCCATGGGCCAGACCCTCCTTACCATCTTGCATTTAATTGTATTGTAATGTCTTCCTTATATTGTAAAGCGCTGTGCAAACTGTTGGCGCTATATAAATCCTATATAATAATAATAAATCGCACATTCTAACAGTTTACTGGAATAATTTAATGATGCAGGATTGTACATATGAATGTCATTATTCAGAGGTACCAAGGGCAGTTTGAGTTCTAAGCACATCCCTTTATACATGGATTTCAAAAGTGTATTTTGCAGTTTGCCTGGGGATCAGCTGTAAATTAGTTTCTGTATAATTGTGACATTTATTTGTAAGCCACATGGGACATGAACGCTTGTGAAGAGTTCTATGTACCTTATAATGTGCTGTGCAGCTGATAATGTGCTGTGAACGTTATAAAACGTTCAATCCTTATACTGCTAGTGCCCAGTGTTATACAGAACCTACTGCTTGGCTCTGTGCCCATCCCCACTGCCATAGTGAATAGAACATATTTCCTGATTTAGTAATATATAAAGTGCTTCTCTCTGGTTCCAGAGGATCTATATATCACATCCAATAATGTCTAGTAGTCAATACTGTTTTTGGAGAATAAAAAAAAAAACCTATTTCTTCTAAACATTTTAGACATTTATTCCAAGCACAGTAATTCAATTGAACTTTAGCCTGATATAATGTACATATTTAAATAAGCTTACGTTATAAATATTTTGAAGACAGTGTGACATTATTATTATTTTGTACTGTGTATAACAATGCGCGGTTATTCTGCCTTATTGTATGGAAAATGCAGATTGTAATACACAATTATGGCCTCGGGATGTCAGTATTGACTTGAACATTTTCCATGTCCATTGCCGAACTAACTTCCTGCACAGGGTAAAACCGAGTATTGTATATGTATACCTTATATAAACTGCATATGTATTTATTTTTTTCAGCATGGCCAGTAACCACAAACCATAAATCTTAGTGATCAATAGACAGACCCATCATTTTTTTTTCTAGTAATGGTTGGCACAGAACCTCCCTTACTGGTGAGAATACAGAGCATTTCCTGTTATTCCTTTGAATTTTGAAAAGTGCTCAATAAAGTAGAACTGAAATGCACCATGTGATACGGAAACCTTGACAGAGAAATGTTGTGGTATTCTGTGGCTGACACTCACCTGGAATACTCTGATAGCTATTTATCAGCCTTTTCCTGACCATTTACTACCAAGTTTTTATCAACAAATGCTATTCTGAACATCGGTAATGGAGAAAAAAGAATGAATCCTTAAAGTGTATATAAACGGTAAAACTATTTTTCAGTATGTTCGACATAATGACTTGCTAACAATTTTCTTAAGCGAGTCATATTTTGTGAATCTCTTGCAAAGCTTCTTACCTAGAGATCCTGCAAGCAATATCACTTAATTTTGCAGGCTGACAACACTAAGCCACTGCTTTGCAATTAGCAGCACCGTAATCAGCTTGCCATGTCAGTTGCTAAAGTTGGCCTGTGGCCTGACTATCTGATAGACCTGATAGGCAGTCTAAAGGTGGCCATACACTTTACAACCATCGCAAGACCTTAGTCTTGCGATGGTTGTAAAGTACTTTAAAAAAACGTACGATCTGCCCATCTTGGACAGGCAGATCGTACTCTCGATCATCGCAAGCCCGCCCCACTGAGGGGCGGGCTTGGATGACCGCAATGCTGAACGGGCAGTGTGGCATGCGCACACCGGCCCGTGCGGCATTGATCTTACGATCATGCTAAAAACCAGCCGAAAATCGTACGATTCTCGGCTGGTTTTCTAGCATGCTCCTTAGACAAAAGACGTGCGACCGTACAGTAAAAACGGTCGCACGTCTTCCATACACTTTGCGATTATCGTACGATCGCGGGATTTACCGTGATTATCGTGCGATAATCGCACAGTGTATGGGCACCTTTACGGCCAACTTAAGGAAGGTGCATGGCAGGCTGAAAATGATGCTGCTAATTGTGTGGCAGTGTCCTAACTGCATTACACTGAGTCATGATCCCAAAAATACAAATAAAATAGGTTTAGGGTTTACATATACTTTAAATTCCCCATAAGCCTGAACAATTCGAGCTAAGCATATATAAAAAAAAATAGATAAGCAGAGGTTCAGGGGGTTAAAAAGATCACATGTCAAAGCGATCAGAGTTGGAGAGAGAGGCTGCCAAAGTTTTAGCTTGATCAGCCCCCTCCTGCCTCTACAACCTACATGTCTCTTTTTCATTCAATACATTTCTATTTAGTTTACAAGATATTAGTACCACAACTGTACAAACCAAGAGTAACAGAGAAGTACAAACTTTAAACAGTACCAATCCAATGGTGTAAAAGAAATACAAATTAAGCAACAGCAGTGACTGTGGAGGCAAATCACAGATATAATCACACTAGGGATTGGTCACTTCAACATTGGTTCCACTATCAAGTCTCGTGGTTTCCAAGTTTGGAGGTGGGTCGGCCACTCTAGGTACTTGTAAAAATAGTAGTAAAAAGAATAGGCAGGAAGAGGAGGGTTAAGGAAAGGGGTAGGTAAGGGTCTAGGTAAAATGGCATTGCTGGGGTTACTTCACATA